TATATATATATATTGTAAAAGCTTAGCAACATATAACAAAGTGTACAATGCTAAGACCTTGACCTTTATCTCTAAAATAGGAAACATGATACATGGTTAAGTAGGTGCTTTGCTTGCAGCTCAGTCACACTACTGGTTTAGCTATCTTTGCGTCTATCTAATCAACCTCTTTTTTTGTGAACTGCCATTAAGCCAAGTGATCCTCTCTTCGACATTCTTACAAAAGACCATGATTGGATCAGAAAGTGAAAAGTACACAAAAACAGATATAACAAAGCACAGAAAGTTGCTATCAAATGTATTCTTCATCTTTGGTTTCTTCTATTTTCTTTCTTTCTTCTTTGGGCAATAAGCCTAGGGTCATTTTCCCTGTTGTCTCAGTACTTAAGAAAGAACTTTAGGGTTGAGGAGATGGCTCAGTGGCATAAGTTCCTGCCTGGCAAGTGCATGGTTCTGAGTTTGATACCAGGTATAGAAAAAGAAAAAAAAAAAAAAAGGAAAGAAAGGGAGGGAGGGAGGGAGAAAAAAAACTTTAGCCAAGAGCCGATTCTCAAAAATTTTTGGTTTATGAGCTTATCTAAGATTTTATGTCAGACATAATTCAATAATAGGAGCAGAAATCATAAATGGCTCCAGATAATGATGTATCATTTCTTTTTTAAAATAATTTTATTCAGAAACAAATAGCAATGAGACAGTTTCAAAACTGATTACTAGCACAGTTTCAATAATTAATATATTGCATATTGTTGTCTTCTTAGTGGTTATTCATAGTACAAGATGCAGACATGATATCCTGTCCACAAATACTATGAGAACAAATCTTTCTATTCATTGAATTAAGAGAAAGTACCTGTATATCTATCCTAACTATTTTGAATATACAGATACAAAATGGCCCTTCATTTGTATCCCCTTTTTCTGTTTGGTTTTGTCAGAGAAAGATATTCCATTGCCATTTAAATATTGTAGGTGCATGAATTCAGCAAAATACTCCAATATAGTCCAGTCATCCATAACAGTAGTGAGTTATCTGAAGGACTGGCAATGTCACAAGTTTTTGACTTGAGCCTTTTACAACTCAGCATACTAATATGGTTTTACTTTTTATACTTCGTTTTTATACTTTTCTGGTAGATGGTTAAGACCAAGATAAAGCAAGACCCATATAACAAGAAATGTAACTTCTGTATCTGCCAAGGTCAATCAAATCCCCTCAGGACTTATCCTGAAACCCTGTACTACAGGTTGTAGATCTCTTTTCAGTGTCAGCCATGTGGATGAGTCACAGCCATTGCTTGACCAATTTGTCATGTATCATTTCAACAGAACACTTATTTGTGGAACACACACAAGAACCTGTGCCAATGGCAATGATGGTTTAGTTTCCCATGTTTTTCCCTCTTCTGTTCAGGAGCTTCTTTCTGTAGGCACAACTCAGCCAAAATATGCCATGTTTAAATACACTATAGAGTTTTAATTTTTCAACTTAATGGAGAAACTAGCCTTTAAAACACTATTTCTGAAATACGAATTTTAAAAGAAAAATTGATGTGTCTATGACCTATGCTAGTTGAGAAGCATAGGTTTTACTAAGGGACTTCTCTCCTAATGTTCAGACCACTGATTGGAGCATTTGCAGTTCATTGGTGGAGCATTGTTTTTGCTGATGACATCCTGAATTCTGACAACTTTTAAATAGAGGAATGGAAATAAAATTTAAAATTAGTGTCTTTTTTACAAATGCTTCAAGTGGTAGGTGGTATTTATTCTATAAATTATGAATTAATGGTAGCACCAAAAAATTATGAATAAAATTCTTAGAATTTTAACTCCAAATATGTCAGTGCATTGGATGAGGTAGGGTTCTCCAGAAAAATAAAACTAATAGAAAGAGTGTGTTTGTGTGTGTGTGTGTGTGTGTG